TACATACATACATACATACATACATACATACATACATACATACATACATACATACATACATACATACATATGCATACCGGTATATATAATTAAAACAAAAGCAACTGGACTTCTGTTTTGTGACTGAAGACGTGCAAAGTTCCAAGCTTTAAACTGCAGGGATCAAGACAGTAGCCTCTCGCTACTTCACTGTTTGTTTTTTGCGGACTCACTCCATCGCGGTTTTTCAAAATAAGATTGGACATGACACACAATTGGCAGATTGATGGATGAGCCGCAGGATCGGCATGGAGTTTTTACTTAAGAGTCAGAGAGATTTGTCATTTCATCTCATGTGGTACATGTGGTGGAATGAGATTATGTACACAGGGTCCCAGTTACAGCCAACAATAAAATTATTATTAATAAATGATAATAAATCAAAAATAAATTACTTAAATTATTTAGCACCTGCTGCACATTTTGCAGCCCAGAGATGCAGAAAAAGTTTCCTACTGCATCTTTGTGCAGCCCATACTGCAGGATAAGATTCCTTTTTTTGTCTTTTCTTCCTGGGGAAAAATAAAAAAGGATAAGCTTCCTGCTGCAGATGATCAGCTGTTCTCTGCAGAGCCGAAAAGTGGGAGTGGCCAAGAACCCTTGCAGGTGACAAAGAGCATCGGAGGCAGTGAGCTGAAATCATGACATTCTGTGTGTGCTCTTTAGGAGCATTTAGAGTTTAGAAACATTGTTAACATTATATGTCCCCTTTTTACTCAACTCAACTTTATTTTGGTAAATTAAAAACATTACCAAAAAAAAAAGAGAAAACAATATAAAATGGTAAATCAATTATTTACCAAAACAGGATTAGGCTGAAGCCAAGGCTTGTACTTGTCTATCCTCAGTGAGGACTGAACTAGACAAAAGGACCTTCTCCTGCTCCGCTCCTGTTTCCTGGAATATCTTACAAAAAGATCTGCAGCTCTTGACCTTTGACCTCTCTAAGTGGCTTCAAACATCTGATAAGTTCCTGACAAAAACCAACGCAGACCTGTTCCTGTTCAGTTTTCTTCACCGCCCTACTACCTAGTTGTTTTTTTTGTTACTTTTCCTTTTAATGACCATTTTATTTTCACTTATTTACATTTTTTGTACACATCTACTGTTGTCTTTGTTGTCATCATTCTTTGTTAAAATCAGGTTGTAAATGAGTCCCTGACCCTGAGGCTCAATGGGATTAACCTGTCTAAATAAAGGTTGAATGAACATATAAATACAAAAATAAACTACTACTTCTACTATTATTCCTACTTCGTGGTTTTTCACTTATCACAGGTCTTCAGGGTACGGACCCCCCACTATAAATGAGGGACTACTGTACACACACACACGTGTGTGTGATATTAGTGGTGAGAGTCAGTGTGAACCTGCAACGCTGTCACTCAAATGAATCTTTTTTTTAATGGATGATTCATTTAAACTCAAATCAGTAAAAAGAATCAAACTAGTGTACAGTTACTGCTATCTAAATATTAGAGTAATGGTCAAAGTAAAAACACTGTGGATCTGTTTCTGGACTGGTTTTAGAGAATTTTGTTTTTCGATTTTGAAGAATTTGTCATGTACAAACAATGATGCAGATGTGTGATAAAAGATGTCTGAAGAGTTCATTTTACGTTGCATCTCAGACACATTCAGCATTTCCTCATCCACAGTGATGCATGCTGTTGTTCATCACCCATTCGCTGTAAATCAACTCATCCTCCCCCCTTTCATCTCCATTCTCATTTCCCTCCCTTGACCTTCTGACCCTCCCTGCCTCCCCTCCTCATCCTCTTAGGCCAGTAATGGCCCCAGTAGTGGCTACGTGTCCCTCCCCTCCACCCCTGTGGTGGGTCACAGGGAGCTGCGGGTTGCTCAGGTGGAGGGTGGGAGCTCCAGCTCACGCCTGCAAAGGGGCATTTCCAGGCGACCCTCCCTCTTTAAGGTCAGTCACTGCCGACCTACCAGGTGTCTCATTCCTCTGACATTTCCACTCCATCCATCCCTCAGACTGCCTCAGTTCAAATCCTCTCCTATAACCCTGTGCTCTTGATGGATTTGTTTCAGAATCGAGACATGGATAAAAAAGCTGGTGACTCAAAGGCAGATCTGAGCAGCATGCGGGGTGTTCCCATAAAGCAGGTTGGTAAAACTAAATAAAGCAGCTCTCTGCATCTGGTGTGACTTGTTAAAGCTGAAACAGAGTTGGTAAAACAACAGAACTAAAATGAGCAAAATAAGGAAAAGCTCAAACTGGCAAAAATCAAAGACAGTTGCAAAATAATAAAATGACCAAAACCACAGATAAAAACTAAAATTGCAAAAGAGTAACTAAAAGCAAAAAATATGCATACAGCAGCTAGAAGTTAAAACTGAAAAAATTATAGCTGAAAGCAAAAGTCAGCAAAACTGTAACTTAGAAAAATCAGCACCAAAGGGCAAACCAACAGCTAAAAATGAAAACAGGGAAAAACAAAGCTAAAATAACGTTATTGAGCATGCATCAGGATAAAATAACGTTAACTTGTTTTTTATACATATGCATGTTTCTGTTCCGTGCCCTGAGATGACTTCTGTTGTGACTTGGTCCTGTACAAATAAACTGAATTGAATTAAAAGCAACAAACTGAAGCTTGAAAGGAAACTCTTCGAAACCATATCTGAAAGCTAAAATTAGTAAAACTTTAGCTGAAAGTGAAAATCAGGAAATCCAAATCTGGAAAAGTTTGAAGCTAAAATTAGTAAATCATGGCTAATAGCTTGAGTTTGCAAAACTATAGCTCAAAGATAACATTCCAAATAAAATTAAAAAGTGGCTATAAACTCAATATAGGTAGACTGACGCTAACAGCTAAATGTAGTTAAACCATAGATAAATGCTGCAAATAAGAGCTCATGTGCTAAAAGTGTTGTGTTCAAGACCACCTAACCCGAGACCAAGTCAAGACCAAGACCTCAAATAAAATAAATAAAATATAACATCCATCCAACCATTTTCTTTACCCGCTTCTTCCATTTTGGGTCATGGGGGTCGCCCATGTCCAGCAGTCACTGTGCGAGGGGCGGGGGACACCCTGGACGGGTCTCCAGTCCATCACAGGGACACATGGAGACAAACAACCATTCACTCTCTCACTCACACCTAGGGACAATTTAGAGTTACCAATCAGCCTAACATGCATGTTTTTGGTCCGTGGGAGGAAACTGGAGTACCCGGAGAAAACCCACGCATGCACGGAGAGAACATGCAAACTCCACCCAGAAAGGCCCCTGGACCGGGATTTGAACCAGGGACCTGCTCGCTGAGAGGCAGCAGCTCTACCAGTTGCGCCACCGTGCTGCCTAAAATATAACATTTTATTATAAAATATTTTTTATAAGAGTTACATACTGCAACTCTGCTTTTGAATGAATGTATCAGTTTTTATAAAATTTCAAAGCTACATAACAAAGAAATCAGACGTTCAGTGGCCTAACTTCATGTGATTCAACAATAAAATGACACAACTGTTAAATTGGAAGCAGTTTCATCACATGCCAAACCTTAAAAAACTGCAAAACAATCTTCATAAGTCCAAACTCAAGACCAAGGATAGCCACATAGTTGCACAGTGGTTTCAGTAAAGTATTAGGTATACACCTAAAAAGTTACATAAATAGAAATTAGTTTAAAGTAAGGTTTCATTGCATTTAAAAACTTGAAAGATTGCAACATACTGTGCCTTTCCACTCGTGCAGAGGAGGCAGGGACTGACATTACCTTCAATGCTAAATTGTGGTGTTGTGGGAATATGGCCTGGTTTTTTGCCCAGAAGACAAGTGCATTGTCAGTATCCGAGTCACGGATGGCATCAAAGTATTTGCTTATCTGTGTTCCAATACTTGAATCCTGGACTGAGCTGTGATGTAGTGGGGCAGAAGGCCAGGGCATTCGGTTGATGGAGAATCACTGGATGGATTCATGGCTCCTGAGCACATGTCATCTTTACTGTCCATCATCTTCTCCACCTCAAAGATCAATGTTTCTGAAAAACACAAACACATTGACAGAGTTAGCTTTAAAGTGATGTGCACATATCGGAGTTGAATTAAATACTTTTAGGCCCTTTTATTAAATGATCAATTAAGTTATATTCTTGCTTTTCAAATAAACATGGTTAATGTAAAATTAAATGCTGGTTATTTTATCCAGTGCAGAGGTCAGTAATGAAATGATTCAATAAATTGTTATTTATTTGATTACAAGGAGCTGCTGTATTAAATCTAGCCGCTGGCCTACTTTTTTAATAGTACTCGAAACACTTGGTACTTTGATTTCTCTCTACAGGTGAGTTTGATTGTCTAGTATAAAGTGAGTCAGGATTATGTACAATAGGCATGTTACCAGCATAAATATCAAGAGTATCAGGTTCAATAGGCTCAGAGTACAGGCAGCACAACGGCACAGTGGTTAGCACTGTTGCCTCACAGCAAGAAGGTCCTGGGTTCAATCCCCGGTTGGGCCTGGGGTCTTTCTGTGTCGAGTTTGCATGTTCTTCTCGTGCTTGCATGGGTTTTCTCCGGGTACTCCCGTTTCCTTCCACAGAACAAAAGCATGCATGTCAGTCTGCCTTCAGGCCCAGACCTCCCTTGCAAAAGAGATCTGTAATCTCAGTGGGATTTGCCTGGTTTAAAAAGAGGTTAATAAAACAAATAATATAGTGTACAAAATAATTTTCTTCAGATGAAATGAAGATTATGAATTCCACTGTAAGACTAGTTAAGGCTTTTATGGGCTTCTAATTTGAAACATTTTAGGATTTATGATTTTGCAAAAAAGACATTTATTTTCAGCAGAGAAAAATGTCTACTGACCTGTCAGTGTCTTCTTAAGTTCATCTCTGAACTTTTTCACTGATGCTGCATTTCCCCCATTTGTAACATAAGTCCACTCAGTTTAAGTCAAACTGTGGATCCAGCATGGTCAGTCATGGGCACGGGTGACATGCGATTAGACCAGAGGTCAGTTGTTAATGACACACATGACTGGGTCTTCAGTTTAGAAACACGTGTGGGTGAACAACACGATGTAAATCAATGGTATTTTGGCTTCACATTTTTCAAATAGATAAACAAGGACGTTCAATGACTGATATGGTGTGAGCCTTAGAGAGTGAACTGGTAAAAGGTTATTTATTTGCTCTGAAATTGTAAATTGGAACTTAAAAAATAGTTCTCTAACAGTAATTTGCCTATATTCATACAAAGCAACCTATTAGTCATTTCTCATAAGTTCAGACATTATACTACTCAAGTCTCCACTCTCTGCTCATAAGGTGAGCTCTCTCAGCCAAACGTGGGAGCATCACCTTGGCACTTAGCTTTAATGTCAGGAGCTGTATGCAGCTGGCATTAACTAATATCAGTGTAACTTAATATTAGCTACACAGCTTTTTGTGAACTGTCTCGTTATTGTTTATCATAAGCAAAAATTAAACTAGCAGGACATGCTAATGTTGCTAACATCTCCATTTGCCTTCACGGACCGAAATCTACGGACTCCTTCGGTTCCATAGGGAAACCTTGGATGTTCTCTGTCTGCCAGACCCGGCGGTTCTGGAGGGCAGCTGCTGCGGTCGACATTATTACCATCAAGTTGCTAGCCGGACATGCTAACAACAAGGCCTGCAAATGCTAACAGGGCCACGCTGATAAAGCTGATAAAATGTTCTGGTGTTTGTAACAGTTCTTGGAACAGAGGCAGATTGCTAACATTAACTAGCTAGCGTTGCTATCATCTCTTATGTTTCTTTGTGCTTCCATTCCAAGTGTCAATAAAAGTTGGACGTAGTCCGACCATCGCTGATGTTGAAGCACTGCAGAACTTACATTGCGCTGTGTGCTTTTCTTTTCTTTTCTCAGTGTTGCTTTACAAATATATTCTGATTTAAATAGACAACTTTTAAAACTGATGATTTGGCAGACATCTTCTCTGGCTCCCTCAGAAGCACTTCTCACTGGAGTGACAAGTGTTGCCAGATAGAGTCAAGGTTTTCCAGCCCAAATAAATGCTATAAGCTGCCACATCACACAAAAATCTACTCAGTCAGTATATTGTTACAGTATATTTACTCTTTGAACATGAACGCACATCAGTACAAGCCAAGGTAATTTAACAACTTGTGGCAAAATGCAACAATTCATCAAAAATCTCCCCAGAGTTCCCAGCAAAATCAGAATGAAAACAGCCCAATTGGCAGTAAACCACCCAAACTGGCAACACGAGGATGCGTACAAGGTAAGGCGGTGGGCTCTGCGTGACAGCAGTAGCAAAAACATGTATTGTAATGAGTCGCGTTAACGCTCGGATTTGAATCAATACGTTTTGCAGTCAATAAAAGCTAGGATGTTGAAAAATAAACTGGACGATATTCTGGCAAAATGGGCTTGACTGGTCTCGAAATACAATCCTGAATCCTCAATGTCCAAGACCGAGACAAGACCGAGATCAAATGCAGTCGACTCTGAGACGAGACCGTCAAAAAGTAGTCTCGAGACCAAGACCGGTCTTGAGTGCCACAACACTACTAAAAGCGAAACGGTTCATAAGACCAAAAAGGCGAGCATGCTGACAGAGACTTCAGAGACTTCAGAGGAAATGGTTTTTAAAGTAAATACAGTATGTAAAAATACTAATGTAAAATCATTCAACAGTAGAACCAATACTAAAGCTGTCTTTCTAAATGGATGGTTAAAATAGCACCAAGCAGAAACAGCAGTGTGAATAATGAATCAGTGTTCAAAGACAGATGTCAGGGAGTGAATATTAACATGTTGCTGTTTGGTCCCAGCACAACAATCAGAGCCCGCTCCTTTGACAGAACCGAGGAGGAAAATAATAAAAACGACATTTGTCTATTTATTTCATTCTTACATAATCAGCAGCACAAAAATATCTGTTTCATCCTTTTCAACCTTTTTTCTGGTGTGTTTTATTAATAGAAATGCTCTCAGCTATTGTTGTCTAAATGTTTTTTGTTCTGTTGCAACACTAAAGAAACTGTTCTCGGCTCCATATTTGGGCCGGCTGCTGTGTGCTGTGAGTGCAGTGACCTTCATTGTTGTTTTCAACAGGGCATCCTGTGGAAGAGAAGTGGTAGCTCTCTGAATAAAGAGTGGAAGAAGAAATTTGTCACCCTGTCCAACAATGGCACCCTGTCTTATCACTCCAGCTCAAGTGTAAGAGAAACAACCCCACACTGATCAATACAGCAGTAAAGCACAGCAAACACCCAGCCAGTGTTCACTGGGGACAACTTATGTGTAGATTTAACACCACCAGATTTTCTCAGCTCTATCTGTTGGTTCTATTGTTTCCTTCTGGAGATCTGCACGTTTCTACAATGAAGTACTGTACAGTCTTGAGGTACCATATTTTCCGCTGTATCCGTCGCACCGCCCTATAAGTCGCATCAGTCCAAATGGAAATGGAAAAATCCATCAATATGTTGCTTCACTGTATACGTTGCATCTATTATGCATCACTGCTGACGCGTCACGTTTGTTACGCATCACCACTGACAACCTGGAAATGTGGACCGAAGCCGGAAATGTGGGCCGGTGTTGTGCCAACAATTGATTGGCTGCCAAATGACGGCCGCGGGAGTGTGCACGGGAGGACTTTAACAAGAATTTAACAAGATTAACACTTAAAAACAATTATTTGTTTGCTCAAAATTATAGTAAAGGTGTGTCTCAGTTGAACTTTTACTTAATAAATGCACTTCATTGGTCAAATTAGCTGCATTTCTCCGGGGCGATGCAGCAAAATGAAGCTGATTTGACGGTTGCTCCAGGCGAGCTGGACGAAGGTGGCAGACTATGGCAAGCCGATTGTGTCATTAATAGCCACTTTTTACCTATTACATGATACAACAGCATACCATACTACTCGAGTGTCATCTAGTGGTAGTGTTCAATATTTTCAGTCAGAATGAATGAAAACGGTCATATCTCAGCCAAAAATTGGTTTATAAAGATGGAAAAAAATCCATAAATACGTCACTTCGGCATATAAGTCGCAGGGCATGTAATTATTTTTGTTTTTAAACACAATCTGCTCTGTGGAGTTGCTCTGTGTCAAATGGATGGCCCCAGCCCTGTTTGTAGATGGTTAGCAGTACATAATAATATTCCCTGAATCTGAGCTGTGAGCTCTAGTTCTAGCTCTCTCCTGCTCCTCCAGGTAACTTCTTTTGTCCTTTGTTCCAGTTTGGTTTTGGTTGAACATGTGCATTCAGTTTCACATCGACTCACGCTTACACTGCACACACAAACATATTGGCATATTTATATTTATTATCCTTGTTTGGGTTTTGTTTCAGAATCAGAATAAACTTTATTGGAATTGCACCGAGGTACAACGCAAATATGTACGTACAGTCGTCCGAAAGATGCGCGGAGTGCACCAAGCTGCAACTACAGAAGAGCGCGGCCTTCTTATCCTTATCAGATAATAATCTTAGAAAGGAAAAGGGGGAGAAACATGAGGGTAGATAGTGGTATTACAAAAAAAGATCGTTCACATCTTGTCTATCAGGACATGATTTGAGACATCAAAAAACTCTACCAGCAGCCCAGTTAAAACATGATTACATTTGCATCTGACATCGAGGTGTTGAGATTTGTCCATGAGCGTTTTTTCAGATCAGCCACAGTTTCTGAAGATGTTGTTCCAGCCAGCAGTTCTGATAAGTTTGCACAGAGAGTTCTTGGGGGGGG